TGAATGATGGATGGATTAGAAGATTCTATGTCTTTTTACACTTTTCACATGTTTTGGGCGTTCAGAAATAGTATCAGATTAGTTTTTATGGGGAAAAAAGAAGGACCTATTTGTCAAAGGCAATATTAACCTTAGTCATTAGAATACACTTACCTCCTTTGAAGGTCATTTCTTTTCCACGGCATCATTTATTGAATATCTGCAGTGAGCAGGACTTTGTGGAGGTGCTGTGGGGCACCAGGCCTAAGGTCCAGTTATCAAAAAGGAACTTAAAGGGGAGATGTGAACAGGACTTTCATACGCATGTTAAAAGTGCAGTAAGTGATGCAGTAAACCCTCAAAGCTGGAAAAGCCAGGGGAGATGGAGATGAGGCTTGAGATGGGCCAGGAAGGATGAGCAGGATGCAAATGAGCAAAGGAAAAGTCAAAGACTGAGGGAAGGCAGTCATGTCCTTGTGCTGTGTTTTGAATTTTTTAATAGGATTACCTTACAGCCGAGCAAGAGACCAAAAAGCACATGTTCCTAGTCTTGACACTATAGTAAGCCATGATGGTCCCTATAACAATCGTCAGCTGAAATGATCACTGAACTAACCAAAGTGCTCTAAGTTTCCTGAGTACACAAGGCTGTGCCATCTTTAACCTGGGCTCACAAGGATAATTATTCTAAAGAGTTGTAACTGCTTTTCAGACATTCTTACATGAATTTGTCCAAACTCTCAAAGAGGCAGGTGGCAAACAGGAAATCTGCAGGCTGCAAGCTGTCATTAAGACAAAGTCTCCGTCCCCAAAATCTGGGAAGAGTTTAACTGAAAAATGTTTAACAGTTCAAATAGTGTTTAAGTGTTTGAACAGATGGAGCTCCGCCTCTGTTTAAGGGACTGTCAAAAGGGACTGGGTTCTGGGAGAACCTCTGCACGCGGCCATACGCCCTTTCCTGGGGTGCTTGCTTGTCCTTCTCTGGTCTTGGTTTTGCCCTCTATTGTGCTGTTGAACCAGGAAAGCTTGAAAAGGAAAGTTGCAGATTTCAGGGTATTTCTAAGAATTTTCCTCAGGTTGGGATAGATTGGGAATTTGGGATTGACATGTGCACACTGCTATATTTAAAATAGATTATCAACACAGACCTAATATATAGCACAGAGAACTCTGCTCAATTGTTCTATAATAGCTTAAATGGGAAAAGAATTTTTAAAAGAATAGATATATATTTGTGCATAACTGAATCATCTTGCTGTATGCCTAAAACTAGTACAGCATTGTTAGCCCACTATCCTTTAATATAAAATAAAAATTTTTTAAATAAAATATTTAGTTTTTTTTTTTTTTAAGAATTTTCTTTAGAAATTGAATTGGGCAGGAGCAGAAGAAAATGAGTTTCCATCATTTGGGAGCAGGGAGGAGATTCATGAAACTGGAGTGAAGCTTGTGCATATGAGGCTGGACCTGTGGCCTGGAGGTGAACGTCATTTCATCAATGACCTTGAAGTTTTCTGGCTGAGGGTAGAAAAGCAAATGAAAGTACAGAAAAAAATAGAAATGAGAAAAAATAATTTGATGAGTCAAATTGTGATTTTTTTTTCCTTCAATAGTTGGATGTTCTTCAATCCTATTGTTTTTAGCTTTCTATCGTGACTGCTTTGCAGGATTACAAGAAACAAACCATGCAGGAAAATATGTCTAACTAAAGCAACACCCAAATGCTCTCAGGCACTTGGCTCCAGAACCGTGGAGGGGACAACTCTGTACTTTATCAGTATGAATGTCACACTAGTACATTTTTGTCCCTTGATGTCAGAGTTAGTTTTACTTAAAAATGGACCCCTGACCTATTTGGCTAGTAGAACCTGCAGACATTTGAGAATGATTTTACTTGTACAAACATCACCCTACAATTTGCCTAATCATTGTTTCAACATATTGTTACATTGAATAAAATTTGAAACCAAGACCATTTTAAGTGTAGGCTAGTTTCAGTCAGCTTGGAGACCATGTGCATTTCTGATGGAGCAAAGGCACTGGGAATTCTTTGGCAAGTTTTTTGGAGTGAGACAACAGCTTCTCAGATTCCAGCAGCAGGTTCCAGTTAACCCTTTATGCCACAAACATTTGTCATTCTCAGCCCTAAAATCTCACAGCTTTTTTGATTATTTTAAAAATCTGGACTGTGTATAAATTTGAGACACATAAATGGGGCTGAGTCTTGTCGATTGATTGTCATCTTTTTCATTTAAATCCTTTTTTGTGCATTTTCCATTTTACCCAACTAACCAGAAAAATTATAAATTTCCCATTTGTGATCCTATTTGTCCAAGCAAAGATCTCTCTGATGTAAGGTATTCTGTCCTAATGAGTCTGAGTTCCTTAACTCACCTAAATTACATTATAACCACCATCTTCATCATTGTGTTTATATACTTATTATATCATTGTCAAATAAAAATAAGTCTCTGCTTGTAGAACTGAAATGTGAACAAGTTTCAACATAGGACCAAAGCAGGATTAATAATGACGTGTCATATAACTTTCAACCATATAATATCCTGAAAATCTTTATTGTCAGCATTTCCTTGTGGAGCCCAGAAATAATGTCAGTCATTTTCAGCTTTCCCTTCAGATCTTTTGGGAAATTTTCCCCCACTGATGGAATTATCCGTCTGTCATAGGGAAAGACAACAGAGTAATGTAAAAGTGGTGATTGGCAAAGCAGGGCTCAGGCTGGCCTTTCTGTGGTGGTTCCAGTACATTCTTCTTCCTGATTTAAAAGGATGAGAGTATTACTTAAGATTTTGGATTTTCTTTCAGTTCAGTTCAGTCACTCAGACATGCCCAATTCTGTGACCCCCATGGACTGCAGCACACCAGGCTTCCCTGTCCATCACCAATTCCTGGAGCTTGTCCAAACTCATGTCCATCGAGTCAGTGATGCCATCCAAGAATCTCATCCTCTCTTGTCCCCTTGTCCTCCTGCCTTCAATCTTTCCCAGCATCAGGATCTTTTCCAATGAGCCAGTTCTTATCATCAGATGGCCAAAGTATTGGAGCTTTAGCTTCAGCATCAGTCCTTCCAATGAATATTCAGGACTGATTTCCTTTAGGATGGACTGGTTGGATCTCCTTGCAGGCCAAAGGATTCTCAAGAGTCTCTCCAACACCACAGTTTCTTTAGCACATTTCAAACCTGTCTGGCTAGACATTCAAAATAACTGAATACAGTAAATGTATTGTTTTAAATATACCTCGTCAATTCCTTTTTTTAAAAGCAGCATGAAAAAGAGTACAGAGTGCCAGCTTCCCTGGTGGCTCAGATGGTAAAGAATCAGCCTGCAATGCGGGAGATCCGGATTCAACCCCTGGATTGGGAAGATCCCATGGAGAAGGGATGGGCTACCCACTCCAGTATTCTTGCCTGGAGAATTCCATGGACAGAGGAGCCTGGCGGGCTACAGTCCATGGGGGTCGCAAAGAGTCAGACGTGACTGAGTGACTAACACTTCAATTCCTTATTTTTGTCATTGCTTTTACTAGCTATAATTTTTTTTTTTTTAGTACAGTTTAGATTGTCAGGGGAAGCAGTGTTCTTTTCAGAACTTTTTAGAGCTGTTTTTGTCTGCCCAGGGCAAACCCTGAGTGTCACTCCTGGTGACAGAGGTGGGGTGGGCATCCCGCTCCATTGGCAGCTGCTCGAATGATGAGAAGGATTTTCCTGACTTGGAATCAATATTTGCTTTTCTCTAATGCCTACTGCTGTGTCTCTATCTGTCGATTTTCCAAATCCCTTCTGGCCTCTTCACATCTCTCTTGTTCTTTTGAGCCAGTTGTATCCTGATCTTTACCTAATCATTCTGGAGCTAACCGTTTATAAAATGTATCTCTTCTCTGTGCTCCATTAGGTGCCATCAGATGAGATGACACCGGTGATTGTTAAGAACCACAGCACCTGACAACTGATAGGCATTCAGTAAATATTAGTTACATTTTTTGTTTTTAAAATTTGCTGCCCAGGAAAGCACAGAAGCTTTGAAATCAAATAGGCATAAATTTTATCATAGTTCAAGTATTCATTTGCTCTAGTTTCTTGGGCTGTATTTTTCACTTCTGTGTTCTCAGGTTTTGGTTTTTTGTTGTTGTTTTTTTTTTAAGTCATGATAAAACCCATTTTACAAGTTATGTTGAAGGTTATCTGTGCCAGTACTCACAAAGCACCTAGTCCAGTTTCCAGCACATAATAAGTGCTCAGTAAATATTAGTCTCCATACAACACATCTTTCCCCTACCCCACCTACCTCTTAACCCAGAAAAGATTAAGGAGACTCAGCTTTCCGCTTTGCTCTTTCTAGTCTCCTGCTTTGGATAAATCATTTTAACCCCTTTGCACATTTCCCTATCAAATAGTCCCCAATATCTACTACAAAGGTACCTTTTAGTAGTAGATAAAATATCAGATAAAATATCATTTTATCTGGATCAGATAAAATTTTAAAAGGATCAGATAAAATATCATTTGGGTGATAACTTTAAATAATCATGGTGAATTTTCTTAAAGTAAGGTGTTCTTGCTGGTTGTAATTTATCAGTGAATAATTACTGCATGAAGGCATGAATTATTTCCCCCAACCCCAGCCCTCCCCACACTGTGAGTGAGCGAAAGTCGCTCAGTCCTGTCGTTCTCTTTGCAACCCCGTGGACTGTAGCCCACCAGGCTTCTCTGTCCATGGAATTCTTCAGGCAAAGAATAGGGGAGTAGGCTGCCCACACTGTAGCAGAAAGAAAAAACGCAGCAAATGGTACGGAAACCCATTCATGCATGTTTACAGAAACACGCACAGAAAGGGAACATTGGCTAACAGCCACTCATGTGAGCACTGGAAGGACGTTCTCAAGCGACCATTTGGCAGACAAGTCCATGGGCTAAACGCTGATATAAAGGCGTTACAGAGGCCCGAGTGCCCAGGGTTGTAGTTCAGGAAGACTGACGCTCTCCCCCTCATCTCTTCCAGGAATTTCTATTACATCACCATGCTGCGGGATCCAGTGTCCCGATACCTGAGCGAGTGGAAACACGTCCAGAGAGGGGCCACGTGGAAAACCTCCCTCCACATGTGCGACGGGAGGAGCCCCACCCCGGACGAGCTGCCCACCTGCTACCCCGGGGACGACTGGTCCGGGGTCAGCCTGCGGGAGTTCATGGACTGCACCTACAACCTGGCCAACAACCGCCAGGTGCGCATGCTGGCCGACCTCAGCCTGGTGGGCTGCTACAACTTGACTTTCATGAACGAGAGCGAGAGGAACGCCATCTTGCTGCAGAGCGCCAAGAGCAACCTCAAGAACATGGCGTTCTTCGGGCTCACGGAGTTCCAGCGCAAGACGCAGTTTCTCTTCGAGAGGACATTCAACCTCAAGTTCATCTCCCCCTTCACGCAGTTCAACATCACGCGGGCTTCCAACGTGGAGATCAACGAGGGCGCCCGCCGGCGCATCGAGGAGCTCAACTTCCTCGATGTGCAGCTCTACGAGTACGCCAGGGATCTCTTCCAGCAGCGCTACCACCGCACGAGGCAGCTGGCGCGCCAGAGGGACCGGCAGAGGAGACGCGGGGAGCGCAGGCCACAGCGAGACCACAGGGGCCACCGCTGGCCCAGGCAGGAGGGGAGCCCCGAGGGGGCCGTCACGGAGGACTACAACAGCCAGGTGGTGAGATGGTGACCCCACCCCCGGCCGCCGCCCTCCCCTCCCGCGGAAGGGGGAGCCTGAGCCCGCGCGCTGGCCTCACCTTGGAGAATGTGGGACCATGCCGAGGACGTCTGGCCCGTAGGTGGCTTGCTTGGGACCCGCTCCCCTCCTTGCTTCCTCTCTGTCTTCACCTTTTCCCAGCCAGAGATGATCCATCTGGTTCTTTTTTTTTTTCTTTCTGACATTTGTCAATCTGTGATATTAAGTAGGGTAAGGAATGCACCCAACGGGATAGACCTCTTTAGAAGGTCAAGGGGCAAAGCACCAACAAAGGAAAGAGTCCTTGCGATTGTTTTTTTCTTTTTTGCAGCAGCAGCAGCCCAGGTGGTAGGTTGGGCCATTGGAACCTACTCAAGTACACATGAAAAGCCAAATTGTGGCTTGGATGTTCTGCTGAAACTGATCGGCTCATATTGTCTCTTTAATGGAAATACTGCTGTTGAAAGAGAGAGGAAGAGAAGGCTTTTTCAGCCTTCCCATGAGGTTTAAGGCCAACTCTCTCAGCTGTTGGCTCTCATCTTTGAACTCTATTCGAGTGTAGTTTAAACCATAAGTAGTGCAACGTGTTTTGTTGTTATGGTTGTTTTTCAACATGATTACCCTGCTACTGACCATCACTGCAGACTCACATCCTCTGCATCTTATCCCCGAGCCATGCTTCTCCCCCATCTTTTATGGAAAGGCTAGTAGATTCAGGAGGTGTGTGCCTGTGGCCCCAGAGAAAGGAACGTGGGTAAGGACATTCAGGAGAGAACAGGCTTATTAATGAAGACCTAAGGCGAACACCCTTCACCATTTTTTATTTTCAGTATAAGGAATGAAAGATAAATTAAGAAGGGAGAAAAGCAGGAGGATAACTACCTGTCCACCGTTTCCAATCTGACTGCAGAACCTTAGTTTTTTTAATGAGGGCTATTTTAGAGTTTTTCCTATTTGGAGCAGGCCTCTTATCTGATACAGCACTGCCAGGTTTGAAACTCCACTGTCATAGAGGAAAAGACAATTAAAAGGAATTTGGCCTTTAGTATAGGAGCTCAGCTAGTGTGTATGCAAAATAAAGTCAAGATCACAAACTTAAAAACTAACTCTGACTTAGGCCATGAGACATGGAATGCAGTGCGTGTTTACTCCAGGGGTTTAGAAAGACTCTGCCTCCCAACATTTGAATATCTGTAGCCTGGTATTATTTTTTTCTCCATGCATGATCTCCACCTGTTGTGAGAGTGTGGTCAGAAAAAATGTGCTGCATTGCCAAGTGCTTCTTCTTTTTTTTCATTTATTTTTATTAGGTGGAGGCTAATTACTTACAGTATTGTAGTGGTTTTTGCCATACATTGACATGAATCAGCCATGGATTTACATGTGTTCCCCATCCTGATCCTCCCTCCCACCTCCCTCCCCATCCCTTCCCTCTGGGTCTTCCCAGTGCACCAGCCCTGAGCACTCTCATTCTCACCTCTTCCCAGCCACAGCTACAACACAATGTCTTTGAATAATAAGAGGAGAAATATGGCAGAGGGAGTAGAAAACCTTGGTCTAGCCTTTAGTAGGGGATCAGAGTGAGTAGAAAGTTTCACAACAGACTGATCTGATCAATCCTTTCAAGGAGCTGAAGGCAAAATGAGTGAACCCCCTAAATCAGATTGAAAAACCTATTTCATTGATATCCAACATGTTTGATGTTTAAGCCAGCTTTACATAAGCTGCGTCTCAGCCTCCAGAATACTCTCTCTGGGGTTGAGAGTTAATCAACCCACATTCATGGAGTGCTCGCCTGAACAGAGGGGAGCCTGGTGTCTCCATCAAAAAGAGTTCTAGAAAAGAGGCTTAGGTATTTCTGATACTACCCTCGGCTTCATCTCTCATGGGAGGAAAGGCATTACTGGGACCTCCCTTGTGCCAGGAACTTTGGGAGGCCCTTTTCATAACTCAGATCTATTCACAAGAAGGTAGATACTGTTTGTCCCAATTTTACGATGTGGAAAGTGAGATTCACAGGCAATAAGTAGCTTCCTCATGGGTTGTGAGCTAGATTTGGCTGACTGCAGAGAGCAAACTCTTTTTTTGTCTCCATAATGTTTTCCATATGGGATAATAGCTTCCTGCCAGTGGTGCTAGAAACCACCCATTATTGTCCAGAAGGGTCTGTGTCTAGCCCCCCCTGAGTGTGATAGCTCCAAGCCAGTGCCATGTCACCTGGGGTGAGTCCAGCCTCCTCCAAATCACTCATCCATCAAGGAGCTGAGAGACTGATGGCTTTATAGGCAGTTTTACTTCTTAAGCCATAGACGGCGTGGGTTAAAGGGGCCAAAAATATAGCTTGTTAGCTGATAGATATTAGGCTCACAAAATATTAGCATCTCCCTTCCTGATGATTTGTTCCTAAAGTAGTGAGAAAGGAAGCTTGCTACTGGGATTAATGAGCAGCTTTCTCTCTGTCTTCCCATTTCAATGCTAAGATCTAATGCTACCTAGAATGGCAGAGCTGCAAATTATTGTTCTGCCTGTCGCTGTGAATCACATACACACACACACACACACACGCTAACAATCCAATGTTTTGTCATGTGGAAAATCAAAACAAGTTAGAAAGCGTTCAGATTGTTTCTTTTAAACTCCCTTTACATTTTTGGCAGAGAATCCGTGCCTAGTTGAGACTTGAAGGCAGCCTCTGCTAACTTCACACTGTTCGTTAGGCGCCTCGGGGTTTCTATCCAAAGGCTTTCCGTGGCCTCGCTGCTGAAGGCGTGATATGTGAGGCTCCGCTGGAGACCCAGTATCAGGATGTTCAGAGGAGAAACCATCTCTCTGCATTGGCCCAAGGCCAGTGCTGAGCAAATTAAAAAGACCGACATGAACGTCTTCCTTCGTATCATTTCATTCTAAAGCAGCACACTAGTCCTCTCCCCACGGTCCTCTGTTGATAGAAACGAAGAGGTGAGGATGCAGTTTGTTCTCTGAAAATTGACAGCGCACCTACATGCGCAGTGATCCTCAGCTCAGGGAAAGAATGTCAGCAGAAGGCATCTGGGTCTAAGGATCCATGAGTGGCCAGCAGCCTCAAAGTTGTCGCTGTTGCTCAGTCGCTAAGTCATGTCCGACTCTTTGCGACCCCCGTGGACTGCAGCACACCAGGTTTCCCTGTGCTTCACTCTCTCCCAGAATTTGCTCAAACCCATGTGCATTGAGTTGGTGACGCCATCCAACCATCCCATCCTCTCTCGCCCCCTTCTCCTCCTGTCCTCAATGTTTCCCAGGATCAGGGGCTTTTCCAATGAGTTGGCTCTCCGCATCAGGTGGCCAAAGTATTGGAGCTTCAGCTTCAGCATCGGTCCATCCAATGAATATTAAGACCCAAAACTAAGTCATTCCAGATACATCTGTGTTAAAAGCCCAGCAGAGGCAAAAAAAGAAAAAGAAAAACCCCTGAGGAGTTCCACATCCTATTGACTCCTGCAGTTCCCAAGTAGACCTTCCTTTCATTCTCTGGCGATGGCAACATCAGTAACCAGACTGGGATAGAGCGTCTATGTATGTGTGTGTTTAAATTATTATTAAGGAATAAGATACGTACTATATATTCTGTCTCCTTTTAACTTTTTGGCTACCTACTCTCAGCAACAGAGAAAACCGTGTGATATAACCAGAATCCCAGGCCCTCTCTTGCTCTTTCATACTAACATGCAGCTTTCAACTCATGGTCCAAGATGACTGCTGCAGCTCCTGCCATCTCATGTTTATTTCAGGTAGCTTAGAAGAAGTGGGAAGAAGTTGCATATATCAATTCCAGTCACATCTCATAGGCTAACACCTAGCTATTAGCTACATCTAGCTGCTAAGAAGACCAGGAAATGTCATCATTATTGGTTGCCTTGTGCCTTGATAAATATATAGGTTTTATTATTAAAGAAACAATGTGAAAATTAATACTGATCAAAACTATCGGTCTCTGACACAAAAAGGAATTGAAAAAATATTTCAAGTACTTTTCAATGTCATCTATTTCGTCACCCATTTTTGCTAAGGCTAAGATTAAAATGTGTAACTTTGTATAGTATTTCATGCTTTTCAAAACATTTTTACATCTAGTATCTCATTTGATCTTCACCACAGTCTTGTATGTAAAATAGGACCGTAACTCATTAATCCCATTCAATAATTTGGCATGGAGATTCAGTGATGTTGAAAGATTTCCTAAAGGTTCTAGTTTATTAACAAGACAGGTGCTCAGAGCCCCCGTCTTTTTTACTTCATATTTTTCTGCTACCTTATGCTACTCATCATCAGTATTGGGATTGAGAATTGAAAGAATACGAAATCTCAATCTCTATTGATTTACAGCTTCCCTCGCCTTCTCATAGAACTGCAGAGACTCAAAAAATGCCAAGGAGAGGGGTAGAGTTGGCTCTCAACTCCCTGCCTCCAGGGAGGAAGCCTCTTATTAAGAGTGAAATGGCCAAGAGATGGGCAGTGTTACAGGGAAATCTTAAAGCATCACCACTCTTCACCACTCTTGAAGCATCAACACTTCTCGTTGGACGTCCACCCCATCCAATCCAAAAACTAGTCAAGATGAAGCCCAAGGGAATGTACTCCTTAGGGAAGCTCGGTGGTAGAAATATTTTGAATCAGTGGCAGCCTGAATAGAGATGCTTTACAAAGGGGCAAGAGAACTCCTGGTTGAAAAATCTCCCTTCCTCTCTACTTCTTTCCTCAGTCCCTGGAATTCTATTAGCGACATACCGCTTTGGTTCTTAAAATTTTTATTTGCTGTTAAATGAATCCCTTTGCACATTTGCCAGGGAGAGGGAATGCTTTCAGTTGTCATAAGCTAATACCTCCTCACCAAGGGTTTACCTGACTCCTCTCCAACTCAGGCTTGTAGCTGAGAGCGGAGCTTGTAGGACGGAATCATGCAGACATGGGGGTTGGGAGAGTAGGGGTAGCTACAGAGGAAAGTGGGGCTTCTAAAA